CGCTAGTAGAAACAAGTGCCTTACTAGTAGTAACAAAGAAGCTACTACATTGTTTGCGCCTCCGACTCATATCCCAAGAATCCGTGTATCAGCCACTTCCAGCTTTCTCAGAAGTGAAGTTTCCCTGAGAAGCGTCTTCGCTATCCTGCGTCCATAAGTAGCTTAAGTAAGGTAGTAGCTACCTCTTCTACTAGCTAGGCCAAAGAAAAAGACAAATAATAAGGAAACAAAGAATGAAGAACAAAAGAAACTGGGAATAAATCGTTTCACCTGTAGTAACAAGGAACAAGAAGCCGCTAGTAGCAAAGGGCATCGCTACTAGGAGCAAGGACGCTACTAGGGGCTCCTGGCCTTAATAGGAGGCTGCCAGGGGCTTTTGGCATCACTACTAGGAGCATTCTTACAACTAGTAACAAGAAGCTATGAACGGAACAAAGGGCATGTATGTGTCTTTTTCGTTTGCTGGCCGAAAGATCTGCTTGCTGTAGGTCTCAAGAGAGCAAGTTCGAATGTACTTGGTGTCTCAACCTGATGTTCCTTGGATCACACTGAGGCACGCGTCTTTGCTGTCTCCTTTCTTAAAGCGGGTTGATGCCATCGCTATTAGGTCCCTAATAGCGATGGCCTCAAACCTACTAGTTCTTAGTTTTGCATGTTTTTCTTTAGACTACATTTACTGTCTCTTGCCAGCATCGGCAGTGTCAGTATTCCTACTTATTGAGAGTCATGCGTGCTTTGCTGAGACGACGCGACCCTGCATTGTGCATGTATCCAGGTACATCATTGCAGAGGTGAACTATGGAGGACGAGTCACTGATGACAAGGACATGGTGACTCCGTCGCTACTCTTTTTGGTTATGATTAAAACACCCCGGGGAATCGTTTCACCTGTAGCAACAAGAAGCTTTAGTAAGGCTTTCCATAAAGACCTTTAAAAAGGGATACTAAGAACAAGACCGCAACGAAAAACGAGTCACCCTTCCATTGAGAGATTTTGGCTATTAGGAACAAGAAGCTACGGACGGGGCTCCTGACATCGCTACGAACGGAGCCAAGGGCATAAGCTTCTTGTTTCGTTCGTAGTAAGGCCAGGAGCCCCGTTCGTAGCGTCCGATCGCTCCTAGTAGCGATGCCAGGAGCCCCCAGTAGCTTCTTGTTACTAGTAGTATGAATGCTCCTAGTAGCAATGCCAGGAGCCCCTAGTAGCGTCCTTGCTCCTAGTAGTAAGGCCAGGA